ACCATCTGTTATAATATATTAGTGATCTGAGCTAAAGTAGGGATCATACCAGTTAGTGAAATTATCCTTTGGAGAGCTACTTTGCAGAAGGTAGCTCACCACCCTCTACAAACTAAGTGGCGAGCTCTAGGTTGGCGAGCTCTAGAGTTGGAGACCCCTGGTGTAGACCCCTATTGTCAGAATCAGAATAATTTTTGTATTGCCACGTAAGTAACTTTCCTTGCATGTTTGAATGAATGAGCTCATATAAGACAGTATTTCATGTGATTTTTCTTTTCACCAAAATGTCTTCCACTCACATGGACATAACATGGTTGAAATGCACTGTCTGATCCACATTGAGTTTGCTACGCACAAATTTTCATGAGCCTGAAAGAAAAGTGCCATTCATGGTTATAATTGTTATTCATGGTAGGCATTGGAGAAGTTCGTTTTTCTATCTCCAGTGTGAATATTCACCATCGTATGCCTGGGTCTGCAGAGAAAATATGCATAATGTATGAGTCCAGACGCTGCAGATTAATTTGCAGATGAGGACATTAAAAAGGCAAAAGGCATAGCTGTTAAAATACATCTGTCTGTCTCTTTAATAAGAATGGAATGGTGCTCCTTTAGTCTCCCATAGGTAAAATGGAAAAACGTTGGACTTGATCAATATTCATGTCTTTCTATCATTAGTCTGCAAATCTATTACCCTAAAAGAATTCTGTGAGAGGCATTGGAGCATGAAATAATAGGAACCGTTGCCAGAGGTGTGTTAGTTGACAAGGGAATCCAAAAGATCAGGAAAATCAGCTTTACGATTGGATTATCAAGACATATTGTCAGTGAAACTAAGATTTAAATTTCCTCTAATAAATGGTTTACTCCCCTCATCAGAAAGCCATTTACAATAGTGGGTTTTAGAAAGTATGCATAAATAACAACAAAATTAGTTATAAAAAAGTTATTGTGATTCAAGCTGTTTTAGATAGTTTGAATCTTCATACATATTGACTGAATAATTGAGGGATCAAAGCTTATTATAGCTTTGATCCCTCAGATAATTCAGATTCAGCTCGATTCATCTTTCCAGCTGCATACATACATACATGAACCACATTTTGCTTTAATTGTGTATCAGTACTGCAGTTTGAGAACCATTGCTCTGATAAACATTACAGGGCATTGAACGAGTACAGAAATGTATAGAAACAAGATTGTATGGAGCGTTTCGGAGGGAATTCGGATTAGGAAGGCATCGCAAAGGCGGTGCAATGATTATAGCTATGAAGCAGTTCTGTTCTACCCCTGGGCTATGGGGACCCTGCTTCACTTAGTAACAAAAGGCTGCACATTTCCATGCCTTTGCTGCAGAGCTCTCACCACTGTAAAAGTCTAGTGTGGGATAGGAGCTGGCTGAGTGGGCTGATATAGGCTGTGTGGGTGCCTCATTTATACCTTACTGCAGAAATTGGCAGTCCAGGGAAAGGCTTAGCGATCTCCTTCCCATGCAGCATTAGAAAGTGTCATTCATATCTCTTAGCGTTTTATACAGATGTAACAAATGCCGATTGGAAAAGACTTAAGCCATGCCAGATCAAAGGAGGATCGTGGAGCTATAATTGAACACAGTCCAATTATTTTTAATGAGAAGAATGTGAATGCCCCACTTTGAGAGAATGAGCTGCGCAGACATGTTGCAGTACAAGGCCAGATAACAGAAAACAGAGATTCCCAAAAGGACTAGTCCAAAACAAAAGCACAAGAAAAGTTGCTCGGCTGAAAGATTTGAGGCACTATCAACACACTTGTTTTACAATATTATGCTACAAGCAATGGTAAAAGCCTCCTACTGTATGCTTATGGTGCCAACTGAAATGCCCAAAAGTAAGAGAAAGCAAGTCACCTTTCACTTGATTTAAGTCATGTACACTCTAGAAATTAATAATTGGCCATCCTGCTACTGGATAGATCAATATTTGCATTGGTTGGTGCGATACCAAAATAAATTGTCTACCTGTGAAAAGCCTGATGCTGTCACAACTCAGGAGCAAAAGATGGTTGTTGTGTCCTTAGGCAAAGCACTTCTCTTTTGTACACTGTCTAGTCTGAGTCTGGTGTGCGTGAATGATTGGTAAAGATTGATTCATTTATTCGACCATTTATTTTGGTCGAACTAATCAAATTATTAGATTTATTTGGCGCTTTGACCAATATAGATGACCAAGATGGTTCAGAAACATAACCTTCTGTTTTACTGATTGGATAAAAGACTAAAAAACTTGCTTGCTCAATTTGCTAATCTCATAATACATCAAATCAAGAGGATAACTGTACCTAATTCAAGTGCAACTATTTTGTTTTCAGTGTGATTTTAATCTCTCCAAGAACAGCTCGAGTTCAAAGTGAATGTGTTTCATGTGAAAGTATAAAAACAGTTGTTACTTTTCAGCCTACATGGCTTTTTGCATTGGTAAAGGTCGCAGTGATCATACGTTCTGAAACAACCAGTGAAGGGAAATGGATAGAGAAGCTCACACTGGAGCCAAAAGAGGAATCGCCGTCTTTCTCTCTCAATCCTTGCAGACACCGTCGCTCTGTTTCCATGACAACAGGAGAATTAAGGGAGAAAAAGGAAAATCGTCCTAAAACGGCAAGTCGGATTTTGGGGAAAGGTTGGCAGATAAATCAAACTGGTGGATTGAAAGTTTAAACGCATGAGAGTTTCCAAAGTTGTGATGTTGTTTTCCAAAGAAATGACCCACAACAAATGTTTTGATAACATATTCTTTATTCTTAAACAATCACTAACGTCATTCTGATCTTATAATCAATGCATATTTTTAATTTTCATCTCACAATTCATAATGCATATATGAGCATGTTCTGATGTTGTGAAATCATCAGCAAACAAAGAGAATAAATTATACATACACAGAAAACCGTGGCCTTCTCTCACTTTAACACATCAATAAACCCTTCAAAAGTGCTCTGCTGCTTTGTGAGCGCCTTTTGCACCTCGGCTCTTCAACACCAGGCTTCAGCCGTCGCTTCTCTCACTCTCCCTGTCAAACTGTCCACAATGACTTCATCCAATTTCATGCATTGCCTTAAGCCACACGTCTCATTTGCACCGTTATAAATCTCTATAAAAGATATGCTGGTCTGGCCTGTGTGATGTCGAGTAATGCTGCATGTGTCACTGTTTGCAGTTGCTCAAGTTGTTTTGACTGGTACATGTACGTAGTGTGGGCCTGGTGCCCTTCAGGCTGGAAGACCCTCCAGGATCGTAATGATTCATCTGTGCAGCTGAATGTGTGCTATTTCTGTACATACCACAACCTACAAAATAATAACCAGATACCACAGAGATCTCAGCCTTGTTAAAAGACTGATCAAAATGTTGCATAAAAAGTGTTAACTAATTATTTGCAAATCTTTTACCAGTTTCCACCTCATTATACATATACAAGACATGCACTCTTCATGCGTAATGACTCCCTAACCAGGTTAGGTTTAGCTGTACAGTATCGCTAACTAAGAAATCTATGGAATCCTGGCGTCAGTGAATGCATCAGAGGCCAGGATTTGTGCAACAGGTGCTGGGTCACCAGCGAGCAGCCAGTCTTTAGTCTGGACCCTTTGACGGAACAGTTAGAGAACTTCCTGAGTTAGATGAACTAAGTGGGCATTAGATAAGCGCTGCTGCATACATGGAGTACCACGTATTCCAGTCGATTCACCTTGTTTATACAGCCCTGTCAGTGTGATTTATGAACGAGCTTTCTACACTAGCAGCAAATGGTTCATTTCATGGGTCAGAAAACCAGGAAATGGGGGATCTAAGGACCACAAGAATACAGAATACAAATAACCATTTGTCCAGGGACGGTACATCCTAATTAACCACATATCTCTTTAGTGAGACGTCAACAGCGATGTGAAAAGAACCATATATCTAAACAGCCACACCCTGTCCACCAGTATTGATAAATCTCTTTCACATTAACAGGAACACATACGCCGAAACCAGCCCACAAACCAGTTTCTACTACACCTTTGCCAAAAAATAAGTTCTTTGAAGCATTTTATAATATGTCTTTAAGATTTCATCATATCCGTAAAAGCATGTTATATAGTTATAGTCTGATATTTCCATAGCTTAGCTGGGACTTGAGGTGCAGTTATGGAGTGACCAGTGGAGGCCATGGCTCATAATGCTGATGCTGGTCTTTCTCTTCCTGCTGATCATTTCATACATTTTACCATTTTTGGTCAGGTTTGGACATCTATTCATCTAAAATAGAGTATTGAACTTATTCCACACAACATTTGTCTTTCTACCTTCTTGTACTTGCTTTTGCCACAAGCAGACAACCACAGGCAAGCTGCTGTCTGGAGACGTACTAGATTACTTTCTACGTATATTGCTAGAATCAGTCTTGTTCTGTTGCCGTGGCACAGCATTGATTTTGGAGACAGCCCTATTTGTCATTAAAGAGTTAAACTTACAGTAAACATCTGAATAAAATACATCCGACATAAGCACTCCGAATCTCCCTACTGGTGGATACATCCAATCTTTTTCCCTCACACTGGAGCAAGCGAGACAGTGCATTTAAGATTTAAGATAAACGAACCACAAAAAATATCACACAGTCAAGATAACCGGATAATAACCAAGAACAGAATCGAGCATGAGAGAAAATAAAGTCCAAGTTTTAAAGCTTGATTTTCACAGCATAACTCTGAAATGATAGATACTCGTGTGAAGAGAAACCACAGCCACTTTTTTGCATAAAATGTCATGTCCTGATTGAGAATGTCTGTTATCATATTCATAAATCTAAAATGTTTTCACAGGCAAGGAATCAGTTTTTTAGGGTTGGTACAGCATCGTTCTTCTTCATAGTCAGTGATGTTTTTTTTTGGGGGGGGGGGGGGGGGGGGGTGGAAGCGTCCAAAAGTCACAGCCAGTCCCCCTGCTCAGTGCCTTGGAAGCCCCGTAATCATTGCTGCTATGTGGAGTCCTGATTGACCGCTTTTCCCCCGTTCATCGTGGGTGTCCCTGAGCTCTTTCTGGATCGGTGCTTCTCCTCGATCTCGTGCAGCGACGGCTCTCGATACATGCAAACTGTGGGAGGAGAAGAAAGGGGGCAGAAAAGGGAGCGTGGATAGTGAGGAGAATTGATTAGGGCTGGAGACAATATAGAGGATTAGAACCATGTCAGTGCTTCGCTCGACTGCCTCTCATGATTATGTCCTTTACACCAGGCCCAGGACCCGGAATGAGAACAAGGGGATGAGATGGTTGTAAAACAAAGCAAAATGAATTAATGTGAATAGTGGCTACATTCAAATGATATGATTCTCCGACAAAGAAAGCTCAAGAACCCATTTAGCTAATTGTGTAATGACTGCATCTTTCTTGATGTTGTTGGCCTTGATTCAGTAACGTCTCGTTTGTTCTCGAATGCTTCATGGTAGAAAAGGATTCAAATGGTCTTTTAAGGGTGTCATAGATAAGAGGAGGCTACTATGGAATGTTATAGATCATTTTTAAGATAATTTTACCAAGAAAACAACTAAACCATGTATTGTATTGTAAACATTGAACCCAGACCAGAATTAATGATGGGTCAAGTAAGGAAGGCAATTTATGTGATTTTATTGTAAAGCACTTTGGTCGCCTTGTGTGTTGTAAAGGGCTCTAATAAATAAAATTGTATTGATTGATTGATTGAATAACAAGAATAAAGATTACTTACTTACTTACTTAATTACCATAAGTTTGTTCAGAAAAAAACGAAATTATGCCTAGCTAAATGAAAACTTACAATTTAAATATAACAATCAGATGCAAAAGATGAGTTATAAACAACAAAGAAAAAGTTGGAGATCTTGCCGTAAACCCTAAAAAATGACCAAATGTGTTTGACCCCTGGGGTGCATACATTAAAAGCATCCCTCTTGAACCATTTAAATGATTTTATTGCATACATACATTATAGGGTATCCTGTTTATCAATACTTGTGTGTTGTTCAAAAAAAGGTATTAATAGCCCCCCCCCCCGAGTGATCCTATTTATGGAACAAGATTTGGCTTTAGCACCTGGATTGAGAAATTACAATCACTTTAAATGTTGTGTGTGTGTTTAATTTGCTTCATTCATACCTTGGCTTATGCAAGAGTAATTATACTTTATAATCAAAAAATAACACAATAAAACGTTTTCCTGGGACTCTGGCAGAAACTTCAGCACTAAACGTTTATCTTGTCAAGTAGGTGGTAGCATACTGTATGAGAGAAAAATCTCATTTGCATTGTTCTAAGCGCTGCCCGAGGCCCAGATATAGATAACATTGATTGCTGCAGAGGGACGTTCTAATTGCATAGTTTACTGCCAGATAGCAACTTTCTGAACAGTGACATTTTCCAAGTATCCAGAGTTTTGCCTTTTACAGTGATAATAACAGCACAAGATGACTTTTTCCTTTTTGTGTGTTTACTGTATGTAATTATCTTTTCTCATCCTTAATGCTCTGTCAATTGTTGTGTATGTACCTACATATGTGTGTATGTTTGTATGTTTACATGTTTGTATTTTTGTTTAGAACCCACTCGAAAATGAGATGATTCCTTAAATAAACTACAACTTAAACTTTGACATTACCTTCAATGGGCCGGGGTACAAAGTGTGACGAGGGCTTGGTCTTCTTCACCCTGTTCCCTTTCATGACCTGCCCTTCTTTTGTGAGGCCCAAGAACCAGGCGCGGCCCGACTCCTGCTGCCGATACACAGTGGACGAGTAGATCACGTAGTAATTTTGGAAAACCGACTCTTTGAACCTGCATTCCGGCGTGAACATCTCCTACAAACAAAAAAACAAAAGAAAGAATAAACTTTTGTGATAGTGGCGACAAAAAGCAAAAAAATCTTATGAATTAAATACATGGCACAGTGAATGCATCGGCAGCAACTACAAAAAACACAATACTTCAGCTTTAAAGTAGAAAAAACAACACACAGGAAGCACAAGGCCTTTTTATTGTATTTGTAAAATCTAGTTTGACTCTGAAAGAACAATTTTCTTTTATGCTGACAGCGACATCTCCGCGTTTCTGTTTCATAAATGAATCTAGTTTGTCCCAACAGAGAATAAGCCTTTTTCAGTAAAATTTTTGAACAACATATTGTATCGGTATTTTATTGTGTCTTTATTGTATCAGAAAATCATTTGATCTTTTACAGACTCGGAGCTGAGTGACGGCTGGTTCTCTCTTTTTCACGGAAAGATTCTGATCTAAAGTTGTGGCAGAGACAAAAACATACATTTATATGAAACTAGTGATAGAGCCAAAAAGTGTTTTATGAACTAGCTACCAGGATTTTCTTCCATTGTTGTGTTTTGTGCTTTCATAGTTAGGTAGTCCAATGCTGTCTAACTTGACTAACTGAAAATGCAAATATGTTTTTAATTATTGACCAAACAAACATCTAATTTACATACTTGTCATGTTTGTTGCTGATCTTTTCCTTCATCAAAATAAAAAACTCATTTGCATATTAAATCAATAGCACAGGCCATTCCAGTCAGATTAGTTTAGAAATATAACATCTTAGCTCGTCTGAACGCTGCTGCCAGTTTATATTGATGTCTCGCAGCTACCTCAGCTTCAGTTAAAGTAATTCTCAATCGCTCCCTTTGGGACCGTACCTATTTCCCAACCTCAGTCAGTCACAATATTTTCCTCTCTGCTCAATACACGAGTCCGTCTCTGATTAAACTCTGCCTGCTTTTTTGTGCCGTGACAGACAAGAAGGATGGGTAAATCAACTGGAAAGAAGAAACACATGCTAGGACTGTGCCAGCATCAATTCTAATAACTCAGACGTGTGCATCGCCAAGGTCAGTAAACATAATCCACTCTCACACAAACATCATCAGAGCACCAGCGATAAAAATGGGATATTACAGTAATGGTGTGCAATGTTGGGTTTTCCCTCTTCCCGCCTTCCTTTTGGCTTCATTATAAAATCTGCAAGTCCAGGAGAAAAGGCAAGGGATGCTCACAAAAAAATTGGAAACAACAGTTATTAGTTATGTTGTGAAAATGAGGAGAAATCGGCCCGACTACAGTATGTGGATGACACGGCACAAAACTTTCAGGCTAAAAAGTGACGTAAGAGAGAGTAACGTTAATAGTACAAACTTAAAAGTATATTTATTTAAGTTCTGCTCAAAAAAGAGTGGGCCGAAGCAAGAGCTTATTGGTGTCCACCCCCAAAACACTACAATAACAGATACACATTTTAAAAATTTTACATAGTACAGTAACAAGAAAAGAACAGACAATAACGACAAGATGTAAGGAATCCCCACAACGTAAGTCGACAATGACAATATTAACTCATTGTCTGCCATGGACGTGTTTGGCTGAGACTGGGGATCTCTGTCAAACTTATCCCTATTCGACTGAAGATTACAGCAGAACAAAACTAGCTAGATGCCAAACCTTTTTTTCAGATGAAAGTAGACGTTCCAATCTTTCAGAATCTGGTTTTCTATTTTTCATAATCACAGCACACAATATTCTGTGGGTCTTGAAAGTCAGTGAAATCATCAAAAACAGCTGGCAGTCAGTGAGTTAAGCAACAATACGAAGTAAATAAAGTAAAGAAGTAGAAATAAAAACAACAACAAAAAGTTAGATTTGGTTTAGCCCGATTGCTCCCCCTAGTGACAAATAATTTCCTCCTCTTTGTACTTATCGAAAGTCTTTTGTTTGTATTTTAAATTTGAACACATTAATGTTTGGACTTTGTTTCATCTCCCGCCCCAAATTGTTCCACAGTTGAGGATTTTCTACTTCTGTGTGCATCATCAAGACTATTGGTCGTCCCAATCGTCAATCATTCTGGGGCTCGTCAAATAAGACCAGAGAGTTTTGTTCAAAAAGTGGAGAGGTCGGTTCTTTACTAAAGCTTGGGAACATCCTCCAATATGCATTTAACAAATAAACAAAATGCTCAGAATGGCGTCTATGACCATGCACGTCGCTCTTTGCAGTTTAAAGGGGACATATTGCGTAGGACGTTGAGCCGTGTTATAGCAGTGTTCCTTCATAATTTATCTATGCGGTATAATGTATCCTCTTGACACAGGTGTATTTTAAAAAATATGTGCGATCAATCTTGTGTTTTCCTGCATCTAAGATCACATTTCTCTCTGAGGAAAAACACTAAACCTGCTCTCTCCTAATCGGCATGTATAGCAAGAATTCAACTGTCTACCCTGTTTCTTTTGAGTTTATCAATGTTATCAATCCAATTTAATTACATTATTTTTTGTATACAGCATACATCACGACAGCAGTTATCTCAGAGGACTTTACAAAGTTGTAGATTTGCCAAAACAGATCAGAGAATAAACCGTTCAAACACAGGAAATGCAATAATGAAAAACACAGTCATTGATCCACAAATGTCCTTAAATGTCCTGGATCATCACCATTGTTAATAAAGAGGTTCCACTTAGGCTGCAACGGGATTTGTTGATGATAGTGCCTGATCTCAAAAGTTAAGCAGGATGGGGGCTAGTTTGTACTGTGATGGGAGACCTCTGACATCACCAGTGATTAAATTTAAAGTGATAAATTGTTTTTTGTTTCCTTTGGCGCTGGACAGAAGTGTTGATGGCTGAGATAGGCAGCATAACTTTTGTCAGTATGGAGTGAATTTAAAAAAAAGATTATTTTTATTATCATTATTCGTCATCTGATTGTAATTCTTTGTAGAGGCAGGAAATATGGATGTTTCCTAGATGTTTCAAATATTCCAGACTACCAAAAATTACACAGAAATAAAAAATATAAGAAGTCGGTATCACCTTTAAAAATATGGTGCTTCAGATGTGTTTATATTTTCAAATTTAGGTAGAACCAATTGCTCAATGATTATTACTATCAAAATACTCTAAATATGTCAGATATTTATGGCCCAATCCGACTAATAGACACTGTTTCTACCATGTTGTAGTGCCTCTGCAGATATGACCAGATAAAGAGCCTGGTTTAGAGACGTATCTGCTCGCCCACATCCACAACACAGCCATGAAGATAATTGTTCTGAATTATTATAAACCCATTCAGGCAATTTCTGAAGAGGCAGCGACGGGATGAGCCACAAACACCATCAGTGACCCTAGACCTTATCTCTGCAGTGAATGTGTGCTGGTGCCATCAGGGGGGAGGCTGCAGGGGCCGAGTGCAGCAGCAGCAGCAGCAGCAGGAGACTGAGGCTGACCCATCCCCAGTCACACAGAGGACCTTCAACTACTGCGCATTAGCACTTACCTACATGTTTTTAAATCCTTGAATGTGTTGTGTATTTATTCATTTATCTGTGGAAACTTGGCCCTGGACAAATTGCCTCTGGACAGTGCCGGTTCTAGTTTTCACGGGGCCCTCTTTACTGCAATGCAAGCAGGCATCACTAATATTTGTGTGAAAGTAATCCTTGGACAAATCCTTGGCGCTTGATTGTGTAAATGACAAGGGTGAACAACAAAAACATTTGTTGTTGATATTGCTCGCCATTTCCAACTAAATAAAAAAATATGACAATAATGGTATTATTGGATGACTAAGACGTTTTCTTGAGTGATTTTATTTGCTGTTAGAAAATTCTGAAATCATTTGTGAAGCATTCTTGTGGGTCTTCTTGTCACCTAAGGGCCCTATTTGAAAAAACAAAAACAAATAAACAATTAAAATATTTGATCAGCATGTATAAAAGATTTTTGTATTTGTGTATGTGATTAAATATAATAAGTTTTTTTAATTGTCATCTTTATAGAGACCGCCCTATTTACTAGATAGGACATCTGGCACAATGCATTGGGGAAGCTACATCTGATTTAATTTGTTGTAAAACACATGTGGGTTAAAAATGTATTGTTTTGAATGTAACACATGCAGTAACCTTGTCCATACTGTCTTTTCACAGTCTCCGTGTCGGAAAGTAACATTTTGTCCTGGGGTTTTTTCGCTCCTTAATTTCTCCAGCAGGATCCTGTCTGACCTTTATTAGATTGTGCTCTTGACTGACAGCCCCATTCTGCTCCCCGTCGAAGGTGACTGTTTAGAGAGGTTTGTGTGGCTGTGTGTGCGAGAGAGATAATGCTATGACAGGAGAGACTTGGACAAGGGCGGAAAAATCCCACCAGCTCCGACCAAAACCTCAGCCACAGGCCAATGAGAGCTGATATACTGTACTGTCTTCAGCAAGCAGTTTGCGAGTATGTGGAGAAACCCTGAAAAGTATGAGGAAAACTATAAATTTAAAACTGAATTATGACGTCACAAAGTCTACTTACTTTTACTTTTACACTTATTTTTAGATTACATTACATTGTGCATTTTGTATACAAGTAAAAACATGTGTCGAAATGCGGTGGGTTCTTGTACAAGTTTAACCAGTATTATTATTATTACTAATACTTTAATCTTCCTCTTCAAATTGAATGCTTTAATTTAGCATTAATTTGTGCCTTTAATAGAATTTGTATAATGATTCATTTGTTTTACCATATTGGCAAAAGCAATGTTAGAAAAATGAATGTAAAATGCTCTGGTAAATTAAACTAGAGTCAAATCTATTGAAATTCAAAACAAAATGGAGTGAATTCAAAAGATCTATATATTTTTGTTTACATTTTTCATCTATTATTATTATTATTATTATTATTTTAAACATAACTGATTTAAAATAGTAAATATGTTTTTTTCCAAAGTGACATGATGATCACCACACATGCATTATGATCACAGTCTCCTTTAAAGACAGCAGAGCGCCATGGCTGCCTGTGCA